GTGTGAGACCCCGTCTCTACTAAAAATAGAAAGAAATTAATTGGCCAACAAAAAATATATAGAAAAAATTAGCCGGGCATGGTGGTGCATGCCTGTAGTCCTAGCTACTTGGGAGGGTGAGGCAGAAGGATTGCTTGAGCCCAGGAGTTTTAGGTTGCTGTGAGCTAGGCTGACGCCATGGCACTCACTCTAGCCTGGGCAACAAAGGGAGACTCTGTCTCAAAAAAAAATAATAATAAAAATAACTAATAAAAAATAACTAATTATAAAATTATTGGAAAATAATAGAAATCCAAGAATCCCTATGCATAGTGAGCATATAAATTAAATGAGCAGTGAAAATAGTAAAATAAAAATAGTAACTATAGATTGCAGAAATCTGACCACCCCTTGACTGGGTGATCAAAACTAAAATCACACAGATGTTGTACACCTCTGGCCGTCACACTGAGAAGGACAGGATACGGCCTATGCAGTCTTCCAGGCACCCTGTGTAACAACGAAGACACGACACAGGAACCCTAAACTAGGAACATTCTATTAAAACAAAGGGGAAACTGCATTCTTCAACGACATCAACATCATAAAAGACAAAGAAAGCTAACCATTCCAGGTTAAAGGATACTAAACAGAAATAACAACTTAATGCAATACATCATTCCTGCACTGGATCCTATCCTAGAGGGGGAAATGCTACATAAAAGACACTATCGAGACAATTGACAAGATGGGAGGTAAATTAGATACCACGTTGTATCGGTGTGAACTTTAATGAAGTGGATAACTACTGTGATAGGAAATACACATAGTATTTACTGGCAAAGGAATATGATGTTTGCAACATGTTCTCAAATAGTCCAGAATAAAAGTCACATGTACATACCTTAAATACATAGAAACTGGCAACTCAAATAGGGTAACCATCAACAACAGTGAATCTGGGGGAAAGGACACACAGATGTCCTTTGTACCATTCTTGCAACTTTTCTGTTACTTTGAAATTAGGCTCCTGCCACCATCCCTGCCCAGGCCACCCAGCCTTATACCAGCCACATGCCCAGCATACTCAGCTCCACCCCCACGACTGCCTGTCAGTATTCCCAGCATTCCCACCTCTTTCCCCCCTGAGCTGTTGTGCCTAGTGTTGCCTTTAGATGGAATTCTTTTCCCCCAACTCAAGTCTCTGAGTCACTTTCTCAAAATGGCCTTCTTGAAACTCCCCAACCTGTTTTAGATCTATTACATTCTTTCACAGCACCAAGAAGCTTTCCTTTACCACACTTATCACAGTTTATGAGCTTATATTGGGGGTGGGGGTTGCATAATGTCCGTCTTCCCCAGCAGCCTGGAAGCTCCCTGAAGCAGGGATCCCAGATACTCTACTCACGAATGCATCCTCCGCCCCAGCTACTGGACCTGGCACACTGCTGTTCACTCAGTGAACAGCTGACGGATTAAATGATGAATTCCACTCTCCAAGTTCACTCCCCAACTGTTGGCAGCTCTCAGAGAACACACTCTGGATTCCATCTCTAGCCCCAAGAAAGTATTCAAGAGGCTTTGTCCTTGAAAGCTTTCTGGATCCCCCCACCATGGTGAGGAGGAGGAGGAGGAGGCGGAAGTCAGCAGGAGAGGAACGTTAAGTGAGAGATGATGAACCTCAGAGAGCGGATGTGAAGAGGCAGTTGGCCGTGCAGGCTGGTGCTCAGAGGGGCAGTCTGGATTAGAATGAGGTAACCAGGAGCTGAAGCTGTTGGCATAAAGGACATCCTTCACACACCTTCACAGCAAAATAAAGAGAAAGGGAAGGGGCCCAGAGGACCCTGACTTAGGGTTGAGCAGAGAAAAACAGTCCTGGAAGCAAGAAAGCAATTTCCAGAGAAGTAGTACTATTAAGAGAGAGAAAAAATTGTTACTGAAGGCAAGAGAGGAGGACAGTTAGGCACTAAAACCGCATACATTTGGATTTTCTTTTTCCTTGTTTAAGATCAGCAATCTGGTACCTGGTGCCTCGAGGCAGCCCAGTGGGGGGTTAAAGGCTGGACTGTCTGAATCCTGACTTCACAATATATAAGCTGTGTGACTTTAGGCAATGGATTCAATTCTCCCAGACTGCAAGCCTTCATCTGCAAAACGGGAGTGGTGCTAGCATGTACTTGCTGGGGCTGGTGTTAGGGTCACACATCATCTTTGCAAAGCCTTTGGAACCATGTTTGGTCTACAATCTAGGCAAGGAAAGACATCATACATGCATACACAGCAGGAAAGGGTGATCTAGTTTCAGCTAATGGGAATGTTTCCCAAGTTTAGCCTCTCGCCAACAAGTTTCAGACAAGAGACAAAAGGCCCTCCATCACCTGCTGTTACACATCCCCTTCCTCTGATTTGATCCCTATTTAAAAACATATAGTGGGCAGGTTCCATTTCACATCACCCTTCTTCCAAAGCCTCTTTCTGAAAATCAGCTTTCTCCCTGTCCCCAAGTGTGCCCCAAGTCATAGCATGCCAGAGTTTGCCCACTTGATTGCAATTAACCCTCACCTAACAGCATTTCACACCCTGTTTTCTACCTAACCATGATGACACCGCGTCCTTAACACAGCTACCTTCTGTGGATATAAGTAACGATTCCCAGGTCCCTTACATGGGGATACCACTGATGTCTGCCCATAGCTTCTGACTATCCCATCTCTAAAGGAAAAAGAAGTATGTTGCTACCGTTTCACAGCTTAGAAAGCACTTACCCAACGTAACCTCCCTTCCATCCTCACAACTGCCCTGTGAGGTAGATACAGCAGATAGTAACAATAGTGGTCCATGCTTATCAGGCATTTACAATGTACCATGCTCTATGTTCAGCATTTTCATATGTGATCTAATTTAAACTCAATAAAACCCTATGAAGTAGATTCAAAAGAGAAAAATGGAGTGGCTAGAACTTGCCCCAAATCAAAGAGGTAGTAATGAAACCAGGATTTGAACCTCAGACTGTCTGACTCCAAAGCCACACTCTCACCCCTTCTATAATATTGCCTCACAAACCTAGCATATTATTCCCCAGATATTATTCTACCAATTAAATTGAAGCTCAGAGAGGTAAAGCAACTTGCCCAAGATCCGATAACCAGGAACTGGCAGAGCTAAGACCCATCCTTGTATGCTTTGGCTCTGAGGCCCCTGAAACCTGAAACTTCAATGACTGAGCTCGATGATATAGTAGGTCACATTTCTGTAGCAGACTTGCCTTGACAATTCTCTCAGCTCACAGTAGTGTTTCTATGCAGCAAATCCTTCCTGGCATTTGTTGGGAAATTTATGTTTTTTCTGAATCCCAAAAACAATCAGTTAAGAATTGGGAAAAGGGAAAAAAGTATCAGAATTCTTTTGTGAGAATTAATCCTCAACAATCAATATAGAGGCACTCCTGGTTTGAAGGAATCCACTGATGTCCTGTTCAAAGCAAGAGAAGGAAATGCCTATATGCAGAGTCTAAAGTTAAGGTAGACATTTCCAGAACTTGGGACAGGAGCACAGAGGAGAGAAGTGATCATATTAAAGTTGACATACTAAAAGTGTATTGGTAGCCCTGTCTGCTGTTAAGACTGAGTCATTCTCACAAATATTAGTATGTTTACATGCATAGTATATTTCATACAAATCCTATGAATGACGTTCCAAGAAATAACAAGTTTTGGAAACAAGTAAGTCCTTAAATTGGTAATTTCAACTTGTGACTCTGTGTAGTGCTGTTAATCTTGTTGAAGATTTAAACATGTCATTATTATTATTATTCAAATACTCTCCAATAACATTTTCTGGCATTTTCCAGTTACTGAATATTTGCTACAGCCTGTAAGCTGTAGTTCTTTGCAACTACTGCTAAATGTGTATTTCTTATTTGTTTAAAAAACACAGAAAGTTATAAAAAATACAGAATAACATGATTTCAGGAATTTCCAAGAATTCCAATTTTTCATTCCCAATTCCTGAAGATTAGTATCTGTTGGGAATTTGGAAACCTTAGCCCAGAGGAACTGGATGAACTTCCCAAGCAACCCACTGGGGTGGCAAATGGAGAGAGGTCATCTTCCTTGGCCTCCAGGAAGGGTCTGCACAGGAGCTGGCCCTGGAACAGAGCATCCTTCTCCAACATCACCCTAGAGAGGTCTGAGAAGAGGTCACTACAGGGATCCAAAGGCTGAGCCCTAAGCATTGATTGGCTTTAAGTAGGAAATTTGTGTCGTCTCAAATTTTATCTCAATCATTGGTACAAATGTTAACTTTCATCCTAGGGAATATCTGCTCACTATAGTATAAAAAGTGTTTTATAAAATTTACCACTGAGAAAAATGAATGCTCCAGAAATGGAGGCCCTGTCCAACCCACAGCCTTAACCCCACCGTGTCCCAGCAAAAGAAGTGGCACAGCAGGATGGGTTGTAGAATCAGGTAGGCAGATCTGGGTCTGAATGCTGCTTCACCACATACTGGCTGTGTGACTTTAGGCAGATTCCTTAACCTCTCGGAGTCTGAGTCTCTCCATCTGCTAAATGCTGACAATGAGAATATCTATGTCACAGGAATGTTGTGAGGATTAAATGATATCGATCACAATGCCTGGCACAGAGTAAACCCTCAGTAAATTGGAGGCGTTATTATTTCCTAGTACAAGCCCAACAGTGAAGTCAGAAAGCAAGAGCTTGGTGAAAGCCCTTGGAACCACTCAAATGGCCCATTCGCCCCGGACTTCTCCAGGCGAGGATTTTCCAGGTAGGTGAGGCCGGCTCAGGGCTGCGCCAGAAGTCCCGGCTCAAAGGCCACTCGTCCATGTGGGTTCCCAGGTTGACTGGCTAGCCAATGGAAGCTCTTGCCGCGCGTCCTCCAGCGTCCAGGCCTAGTGGGCAGGGGCGGCTGCCTCGCCAGGGTCTCTGCGCATGCGGAGCGTCACGTGGTGCGGCGGGAGGCTCTGCGCCTGCGCTTCACGCCTCCTGGCGCGGGCCCTCGCCGTGCCCCCCTCTGGCTCCGAGCCTGCGAGACTGGCCTCCTCTCCCGGGTTGGAAGGCGCGGCCGCGCGGACTCCGGCGCGCGCACACGGGCCGCGCGGGTGCGTGAGGAGGGGACAGTGCAGCCCGGAGGCACCCGCTCCCCGGCACTCGAGGCGCGGCGAGGCCCAGCAGCGAGGCGGCCTCGGTGCTGAGAGCAGGCCGCGTGCTGCTCTGAGCCCTTCCCACACTCTCGGGCGCCGCGGGGCCCGCTCGCTGTGCGGAGCCGGTGGCGAGCAGGGTGGGTGCTGTGACCTTAGGTTCAGGCAGGTGTAGGGCCGTTCGCCCCGATGTTGTCACTGTGGGTGTTGAGCTGGGAAGAAGCTCTTTCCGCCCTCGGGGCACGGGTAGGTGGCTGGATCTGGGGCGGCCAAGGGAGGCCTAAGGGCCTCGTTTTGCCTGGGGAGCCTGCTCACCTCCCCTTACCCTGGGGGATCGTCCTGGGTGCCCTCGGGGCCTTGCTTCCTCCCCCAGGAGCTCTTGTATCTGGCACCGTGGAACTGGGCCGGGCATTTGTCCGGAGACCTCTCCTGGGAAGGAGCCTCCTGAGGGGCTCTGTCTTCAGGCCTTTCTCGTGGAGCGCTCGCCTTGTCACTCTCACTCCCGAATCCTGCAGGGAGAAAAGAAGACTCTGGGTAATGTTTCATCTTCTCACCCATCGACAGCTAGGAAGACCCTACCTTGGGAGTCCTAAATGGGACAACTTGGTGGAAAGTCTTTTGCAAACGACTAAGTTCTGTATTTCTGACGGAAGGCTGAGGTTGAGGGAGGGCCTTGTGGGAAACCTGTGGAAGCTCAGTTTCTGAAATTAGCGCTAGTGTTGGACCCCATATCCCACACTTACTTGCAATTTATACAACTTCTTGCAGTCTCAGTTTGTTCAACTATAAGATTGATAATGATAACAGCAGCCTCCAAGGGTTCTATCAGTGTGGTGGCTGGATCCACAGACCATCAGAAAGGCAGGACACATAAATGACATGTTAAGTTGGAAAGATCAGTATAAATTTTTACCTCAGAAATTTTTTTCCAATTCTGTCACTGAATGAGATCCGGTACTTTATCCCCCTATGAACACTCATGTACATCCCTAATGCCAAGATGTTGGTGCATATTAGTGTTATCATTAGGAGTTCTTCTTAGAGGGTAGCTGATTCCATTTCTTTTTCTTTTCTTTCTTTTTTTTTTTTTTTGACAGAGTCTCACTCTGTTGCCCAGGCTAGAGTGCCATGGCATCAGCTTAGCTGACAGCAACCTCAAACTCCTGGGCTCAAGTGACTTCTGCCTCAGCATCCTGAGTAGTTGGGACTACAGGCACTCGCCACCGTGCCCGGCTAATTTTTTCTATATATTTTTAGTTGTCCAGCTAATTTCTTTCTATTTTTAGTAGAGATGGAGTCTCGCTCTTGCTCAGGCTGGTCTCAAACTCCTGAGCTCAAACAGTCCACCCGCATTGGCCTCCCAGAGTGCTCAGATTACAGGCATTGAGCCACTATGCCCAGTCCTGATTCCATTTCTTAAAAGAATCAGGATGGATCTATAGTGTCCTGTTTTTTGTTTGTTTGTTTGTTTGTTTGTTTTTTGGGTTTTTTTTATATAGTGTCCTGTTAATACCAGAAAGCATGGATATTTTCAAGGATATTGGGGTAGTAGTATAAAGACAAAGATGTAATTAAATGGACATCCACTGTCCAAGCTGTTAACAATTTGAGCACCCTAAAATATACAATAATCATTTTACTTAAGTTAAAAGTAGAAAATTAAGATAGAGTTTTCAAAAAGGTAGTTGTACTATCTAAGAAAGGGGATAACAAGATACATATAATTTTGAAAATTGTAAGTAGGAGTATATTAACACATGTGGATATTTTGTTTCTTCTGTTTTTCCTCTATAAGGAATAAATGTGAACTCTTTTCTATTTGTGTAAGGAGGAAACAATAGAACCAGAGAACTGAGTCCAGTAACTGGAAAAAGCAAGGCCTACCATGACTGGACAGGATTGATGAACAGGTAAAGTAACCAGGTGGAAGGAGATTTCAATATTTTATTCTGAAATGATGAATTAGCCATGTGTCTTAATGAGAACTAATTTAAACATTCAGCCTCATCTAAGAAAATAGTTCTTAACTTGGGAAGCTTTAAAAAATATACTGTTCTCCAGATTCTATGATGAGGGATTAATATCCAGAATATATAAATAACCCCCCTGCAACTCAGCAACAACAAATAGCCCAATTAAAAAATGACAGAGGACTTGAATAGACATTTATCCAAAGAAGATATACAGTGACCAACAAGCACACGAAAAGACACTCAGAATCACTAATCATTAGGAAAATGCAAATCAAAGCCACAGTGATACCACTTCACACCTATCAGGATGGCAGTTAACAACAAAACAGAAAATAACAAGTGTTGGTGAGGATGTGGAGAAATTAAAACCCTTGTGCACTGTTGGTGGAAATGTAAAATGGTGCAGCCACTATGGAAAACAGTATGGCAGGTTCTCAGAAAGATCCAGCAATTCCAACTGTTGGTTGTATACCCCAAATAATTAAAAGCAAAGTCTCAGAAATTTAGACACCCATATTCATAGTAGCATTCATTATTCACAATAGTCAAGCAATGGAAGTAAACCAAGTGTCCATTGACAGATGAATGGATAAACAAAATGTGGTATTTGTATAATGGAATATTATTCAGCCTTGAAAAAGAAGGACCTATTACCCATGTTGCAACATGGATGAACCTTGAGTACATTTATGTTGAGTGAAATAAGCTAGTTACAAAAGGACAAATCCTGTATGATCCTACTTATATGAGGTACCTGGAGTGGTCAAATTCATAGAGACAGAAAGTAGAATAGTGGTTTCCAGGGCCTGGGAGAATGGGGAGTTATTGTTTAATGTGCACAGTTTCAGTTCTGCAAGATGCAAAAAGAGTTATGGAGATGAATGGTGCTAACGGTTCACAACAATGTGTCTGCTACTGAACTGTACACTTAGGAATGATTAAGATGGTAAATTTTATGTGCATTTTACTACAACTTAATAGAAAAGTTCCCCAGATTCTAATGTGCAGTCAGGTTTGAGACCCACTATTAAGGGGAGGGGCAGAGAAGGGTATGTATGCAACCTTATTTACCTTACCAATTATAAGGTAATAATGGAATAGGTAGGTTTTAATAGTGCCAACAAGGCTCAGGCCTGTACTATCAGCACTTTGATCTCTTGAGACCAGGAGTTCAAGACAAGCCTGGGCAACATAGTGAGACCCTGTCTCTACAAAAAATAAGAACAATTAGCCAAGTGTGGTGGCATGTGGCTGTAGTCCTAGCTGCTTGGGAGGCTGAAGAAGGAGGATCACCTGAGCCCATGAGTTTGAGATTGCAATAAGCTATGATGACACCACTGCTCTCTCGCCTGGACAACAGAGTGAAACCCTGTCTCAAAAAAAAAAAAAAGAAAAGAAAAGAAAAGAAAAATTTTTAAAAAAGCATAATAAAAGAAAGAAAGAAAAAGAAAAAGGTTTCCATAAAATGGTGTTAAGGCTAATGACAGGCAGCTCAGCTTTGAACCCTTAGAACTGCGCAAGCTGATCCCACGTCTCTGGCCAGAACCTATAACCTCAGCTTGTTCCAAAACAGTTTCTTTTTTCTTTTGGGTCTAGTAGGATTAAAAGAGCTCCAGGATGATATAAAAATAATAACTGGTAGAATTACTGAAACCGTAGAAAGGTGTAAAAATTGGAACCTCAGTGAGGTATCAAAAATAAGATGACTTCAATGGGGCAAAATAATAAAAATATAAGAATGAGGAAAAAAAATTAAGTCCATGATTTTAGAACTTTTGTAGCCAGTTTTGATGGCAGGGCTTTAAGAAATGCTATCATTTACAAATATTAGGCATAATATTTGTATATGCTTAAAGCATATGAAGTAGTTAAAAGAAGTAGCCATATTGAATTTGTTTTTGCAGTTTAAGATAACTTTGGTCAAATTTATGATCAAAGTGTAAATCCCCTATTAAAAATGGATTTTAATTTTTTGGTTAAATAATCTAGGAAATTAAGTAAACAGAATATAGAAGGTAGTGGGTATTTCTTCCCAGCATCTCAGAAATGAAATAATCTAGCAGTGGGTTCCTGTGAGGACTTCAAATAAGAAGATGCAGATAAAGTAGTGAGCACAGGGCCTGCAACACAGTTCACAAATCCAGTTCAAATGAGTTAGTTTATTGAAAAGGGAAGGAGTTGGTAGCAGGAACAGACATCAGAGAGGCAGAGCAGAGAGAGGAGCTCTCACAAGGCATGCTATCTGGCGGATTAGGTAGTCACTCAGTCATTCAGTACATGCTAACTGAGCTCCAGCAAGGTATCAGGCATGCTGGAGATACAATGGTGAACAAGATGGGGCCCTACCATTTTTCCTCCTTCCATGGTTTTCTCCCCAGGTCCCACTAGCTGTCTTCTTTTAGCCACAAACACCTCCCTATCACACTTTTAACTTGAGGCCATTCTCATGACTACAACTAGGACTGGCCTCTTCCCTGTCCCAGGTTGGGCCACTGGCCTCACTAGTACAGCTCTGACTTCTATTCAAGAGGCGTACAGCAAAGGTCTCAATTCAGGGCACAGATACTCAACTAATCTCCACCAAAGTGGTTCAGAGTGTGGGCTTTGGGTTGGATGGCAGAGGTTGGAATTCTCAGCTGCTTCTTATCCATGACCTTTGGCAAATAATATCACTGGGCCTCAGTTTTCTTATCTATATAGTAGGGATAATAATCCCCACCCAAAAGAGTTCCTGTGAGGATTAAACAAATTTATGGATATATATAAGTGTATGTGTATATAGTATACAGATGTGGATCAGATATAGATCTAATCTACGCACACACATATAAATATAGGCCCTGAGTAACATTAGTGGCTGTTATTATTGCCTTAATATTCCTGCTACTTTGGGCTTTGCTCCTTGGAGGATCTTAGATACTCAATTTTTTAATATTACCCAACAGAGTCAATCAGACTAGTGGCAAAAATGTTTTTTTCCCCTGAGTATTAATTCATCACCCTAGTCAAGACAATTGATAGCCATTTCATTTCACATTCCCCCCAAATCATCAACAGATAAAAATAAATCAACAAAGAACAGAAGAAAGACTCTGGGAAAAAACCGTCTCTATAAACAACAGTCAGGATGGGCAAGTGGCTGGAACGTAAAGGGTGTATTGAGACCACAGCGTCTACTGGGATCAGGGCCACTGCTCATAGTTGTGCAAGTTGTCCACTGCACAACTCCTGGAAGTGCCACTCACTACCAAGTAAATACAGATTTGTATAATTACTACAATAAATTTCCAACAGAAAGCAGTAAATTGTTTTAAGGAAAAGGCATCTTTTTCCAGTTCACACAAAGTTGCTAAGAATTTATGAACCAGCTGAGGAGCTGACTGTTTTCTCTAGAGGAGAGAGTGTGTACCACACTTTTTTGTCTTTTGCACTAATTTAGGATCTAAGAAACGTGTGGCAGAGAGGGACTGCCTTCTCTCAAGGTCTAGGACACAGACTGGGATTCCTTGGTGTGGTAGGCAGAATTCTCAAGATGGTCCCCTAAGATTGCTGCCCCTTGGTTATTCAATCAAACACAAGGTAAGCTGTGAAAGGATTTTGTAGATATAATTCAAGTTGTAAGTCAGTTGATATTAAGACACGGAGATTGTCACGCAGTCAGCCATTTCAAAGCAGAGTTTTCTCCAGCTGGTAGGAGAACAGGAAGTCAGAGATTTGCAGCATGAGGGGCATTGGAGCCATTGCTGACATGAAGGTGGAAGGGGCCACACCAAGAGGAATGAGGCAGTAAACACAGTCCTATGCTGCAAGGAACTGAATTAGGCCAACAACCTAAATGAACTCGGAAGTGGATTCTTCCCCAAAGCCTTGGATGAGAGCCCCGCTCAGCCAATACCTTGACTCTGGCCTCCTGAGACTCTGAGCTGAGGACCCAGGCAAGCCCATTTGACCTGACCTGCAGAATTGTGGGACAGTAAATGAGTGTTGCTTTGGGCTTCTAAATTTGTGGTGGTTTGTTACGTAGCAATAGGAAACGAACACACTTTGTTTCATGGAAGAGCTCAGCTGGAGATACTTGGGAATCCCTTCAGGAAAAGGTTTATCAGCTCTCTTGCATAATGTTGGTGTGGAGAACACGTTTTCCTCACTCCTAATGTTTCTTTTTGTGCAGATGGAGTTCTACTGACATAAAACTATTGACCTTTCCTCATCTCCTGATTTAGGAAGAAATAGAGCCACTTAGGAAGGAGAAATGGTGTATCTATACTCCTGTTCCTTCCTCTATTTTTTCCCCTAGAGAGTGAGCCTATTGGCTAAGAACCTAAATTCTGCTCTACTCCTCCAAGTTCCAAGTTTTACGAGGGAGGCCTGTCACATTCTAGTGCTGCCTGTGACCATGGATGGGCAAATCATTAATTCTGGATTCAGCAACATGATCCAGAACTCAGGAAGAAGAGAAATGTAATTAGTGGACTCTCTCATCTGCCCCACCCCCCAAAACCCCACACATACACACGCAGCCCTTGAAGAGCTGACTTAATTTGCTCACCTTTGAGAATGTGGAAGGGAGCTGCACAGGTAGACTGACTTGAGAGATTGTTGCATGCTCTTGAAAAACCCTGCAGGTGAGCCTTCCTCTTGGTGCCTTAGCAGCAAGATAATGGTCTTCAGATTTGTTCAGTACTGGGTGTTAGGGACTGAACTGTCTTCCCCACACCCCCAATTCATATGTTGAAGTCCTAACCCCTAGAACTTCAGAACAGAAGGTCTTTAAAGAGATAATTAAATTAAATGAGGTCATTAGGGTGGGCTATAATCCAATACGACTGGTATCCTTATGAGGAGGAAATGTGGATGCAGATATGTAGAGAACAAAGACCCTGTGAAGACACAGGGAGAAGACAACCATCTAACAGGCAAGGAGAGAGGCTTCAGAAGAAACCAACCCTGCTAACACCTTGATCTTGGACTTTTAGCCTCCCAAACTTCGAGAAAATAAATTTCTGTTGTTTAAGTCACCCAGTCTATGGTACTTTGTTATGGTATCCCTAGCAAACTAATATACTGGCCCACTCAAGAGGACACTGTTGTCTTACACCACTTGCCTCTGAGAGAGCCTAATACCCCGTTCTGACTGCTAAGAGTAAATAAAATAATGAATAGTGAAAAGTTAACAGCCCATCTAAGGGACTCAGAAACCAGAGGAGAGAAGACCAAGCCAGTCCCTGGATGAAATGGCTCCAACTGAAGTAGAATTGATTGAGGAGGGCTGTTTAAAAAAAAAAAAAAAAGTACAAGGTGGGAGGATTGTGTGAGCTCTGGAGTTTGAGACCAGCCTGAGCAAGAGCAAGACCCCGTGTCTACTAAAAATAGAAAGAAATTAGCTGGACAACTAAAAATATATAGGAAGAAAATTAGCCAGGCATAGTGGCGCTTGCCTGTAGTTCCAGCTACTTGGGAGGCTGAGGCAGGATTGCTTGATTGAGCCCAGGAGTTTGAGGTTGCAGTAAGCTAGGCTGATGCCATGGCACTCTAGCCTGGGCAACAGAGTGAGACTCTGTCTCAAAAAAAAAAAAAAAAAAAAAAGGCCGGGCGCGGTGGCTCACGCCTGTAATCCTAGCACTCTGGGAGGCCAAGGTGGGCGGATTGCTCGAGGTTGAGAGTTCGAAACCAGCCTGAGCAAGAGCGAGACCCCCGTCTCTACTATAAATAGAAAGAAATTAATTGGCCAACTAATATATATATATAAAAATCAGCCGGGCATGGTGGCGCATGCCTATAGTCCCAGCTACTCGGGAGGCTGAGGCAGAAGGATTACTTGAGCCCAGGAGTTTGAGGTTGCTGTGAGCTAGGCTGACGTCACGGCACTCACTCTAGCCTGGGCAACAAGCGAGACTCTATTTCAAAAAAAAAAAAAACTACCAAAATAAAAAGTTACAAGAATACAAATGCCCTGTCACCACAATTCCAATCATGTTCCTTCCAAATCCCTGGCTAACCAGGCATGGGCAACTGCCCATGATTAGTATAGGTCTGCACTTCTGGCCACTTATGCCAGGTACAGTGAACCACCAAACATTCTGCCCAACATTTTGTCCACCACTAGGTCATAACAGCAAGTCATGCAGACTCAACCTATAAACAGGCTTGACTTTTTTCTGCCTTGGTAACTGGTTGTAAGGGGCATCCCATGAGGCCATAGGCATTAATTGAGGGAGAGAAGACACTGCCACAAGAGTAGGTGTCGAAGGAATCTGAGCCACCTGCATGCAAATGGCTCATACCTTCTGCAGCTTTCCAAGCCTGGTCTTGTATATACCATTTCCATTTGGTGATAAATTGCTGCTGTGCACACCCAATATTATGACTGGATTGATCAGACCACAATTAATCCACGAGGAGAATCTCAGGTCACGTGGTTATCTGGTTAGGTGTTCAGTCCCTACCAAGGTCCAGTAGCAAGCCAGAGCTGTTTCTCAAAAGTAGAATAGCTGTCTGCAAAAAACAGTCTAGTTTTGTTTTGTTTTTATTTTTGTTTTTAACTCCTGTGAATCTGTGTTTGATTCTCCTATTGGTGCTTGCTAGAGGCTCCATATAGCATCTGTTTGCCATGGACATTTTGAGTGTCACTGGGGCTGCTGGATCTTAAGTACCAATTGGCAGAGCAGTGTGTAATGCAGCCTGGATTTGCACAGCCTTGTCTTGCTCTGGTTTCTACTCAAAACTGGCAGCCTTATAGGTGACTCCATTGATGAGATATGTTCCTCCAAAATCCAAACAGGCCTACCAAGCATTGCACCTCTTTTAGGAGGAAGTAGATTGTATGAGGTACAACTTGTCTTTCACTTGTAAAGAGGGGAGATATCTTCAGATATCTAGATACTGAATCCCGAGAAACTTCACTGAGGTGGCAAGCCCTGGAAACTTTTGTAGGATTTATCTCCCACTTTCTTGTTTGCATACATTTTGCAGTGACAGTACTTGTTACTGCCTGTTCACTAGGTCCAGTAATGTCAATGCAGTGGACCAGTATGATGTTTCAAGGAATGTCAAGATGATCAAGATCTCTGTGGACTATATCATGACAGCAGAAATGACACGGTCTTTAGGCAACCTGGAGACCCATGGTAGCTTTGCCTCCTAAAAGCAGACTGCTTCTTGTGGATGTTGCATCTGTTATGGAGAAAAAACCAGGTTGATGGCTTCATCCCAAATTCCAGGGGCCAGACTGATTTGCTCCAAGAAAGATGCTATAGCTCTAAGAGCAGCTGCAATTGGAGTCACTACCTGATAAAAGTTTGATGATCCACAGTCATTCTCCCAGAGCCATCTGACTTCTGCATAGGCCAGACTGCTGGATTGAATGGGCAAGTGATAGTTGTCACTATCCCTGCTTTTTTTCAATTCTTTGATGGTGGCATTAATCTCTGTGCTTACCCAAGAGATGTGGTATTTCTACTGGCTTATTGTCTTTGTAGGGAGGGGAAGTTCCATGGGCTTTCATTTAGCCTTTCTTACCATTTTTGCCCTCAGTTTATAGGTCAGAGAGCCTATGAGGGTATTCTGCCACTATGTCAGTTTTGGAATTTATTGACTAAGCTCCAAATTCACCCTCCAGTACCTGCTCTGATACAGCGGGTTGGACTATTTACACATTTCTCCTTGCACAAAGCTTGATTTTATGCTTTGTCAGTAGAGGGCGCTGGAGGGACACTGCAAGAGGAAGGGGATCCCCTTCCTGGTTCTGTTCCCATTGAGGTTTCCTTTTTCTTGTTCTTCCCAGTTTTGCAGAGGCACATGTATGTTGGGAAATCCCAGTGTTTCCCTGGGCTAGATGCATGTGCAGAGTGAGGAATCCTTGGGAAGCTCAGAGCCCCCAGCTTGCAACCACCTTGCCACGTCCTCTACCTCCTCTAACGTGGACACCAAAAACCCCAGACCATGTGCTGACTTTTGCAGTAAGTGGACTCCTGACACTTGGACTGTTTTTGCACACCCATCACCAGTCTTGACCCTCACACAGCTTTGTCTAGTGCTGAACTCAGGCAGAGCAAGCTTTCTTCAGTGCTTGACTTTTGCAGTAGTCTGGTTTTCTCCACCACTGTGTTCTCACCAAGTACATTTTCCATAACATGTAGAAAGCACTTGTTTCTTCTGTTGGTACCGCTCTTTCCAGCACTAGGCACTTGCTGAGTATGAATGCTCTGACGCTTGACCCGTCATGGCATGACCTTCTACAGTGCTGAACCCTGCACTGGCAACGCTGTTTCTAGCACTGGGCTTCTACAGTTTTTAGTTCTAACTAACAGCCATCCGTGATTAGCAGCTTTTCCGGACACCTCAGAGGGCATATTTCTAGGAGGTCTCATTGGTGAGATATGTCACTGATGCTTTCACTGCCATGCTTTTTAAATGAAGTCTGGACCTCAGCTCTGCGGGGAGAGAGGACTCTTCCTTGGCTGCTCAGTATTAGTTCTAGAGATAGTAGCTGATCTTTATATTTACTACTTCTGTATTCTTTAAAATTGTCTTTAGCTCCCATTAGCCAATTCCCTATCATTTCAGTCCCCTATTAATCATTTATGTTAAACTTTCCCATTGTAGCTTCTATCTCCTGATTGGACCTTGACTGATATAACAAGTGGTATTTTTATTATTATTATTATTCTTTTCCTTAACATGAACAGAAATACAGAATAACAAGAGGTACTGACAGTGATCCCGGGAGACAGACCTGCAAAGATGGGATTTGGGGATTGATTTGGTCACACGCTTGGGCTTGAGCACAGGGCTGGGCTCCTTGCCAGTTGGAAACGAGATGCTGGCACTCCATGGCCTACAGTGGCATCACAATTAATGAAGCTGTCACATGTGGTTGATTGTGGTGAATTCCCAACTGAAGCATATGCGTTTGGAGCCCAAATGGCCACCATCCTTGACTGCTATAACAGTAATAATGACCAAGGAATAAGGACTGTGTATAAGATGGATTCATTTCAGTCCACTTGTTATTGTAGAGAGAAAATGACAAGTTCTGGTCTATTAACTTTCAATTCAAAGCCTAAAAAATTCTCTTGCTTATGTAGACCCACGGCTGATACTGCTGAAAGTCAAATACACAATTGTGTGGTTTGCAGAATTTTAATGACAGTTGAATTCACAGTCTCACCAAATTTTTCATGGAAAAACTAAGGCACTGGTTGGGAAATAACAGGACCCAGAAATTTGAAGCGGTGAATGTGGTTGGACCCAGATGAAGCAGACAATATTGAACCCCTAAGTCCTTCAGAGTCTCGCTTGTGAGTGGAAGTAGCTTGATGTTCAGGGTCTGAGGAGACTTACTTTCCTCTGTCTCAAAACCCTGTGATAACCTCACCTGAGAAAACGCCTTGAAAGTGGACACTCATTTCCCTAAAAATCTGCCACAATCCCCTGTTGCCACTAGGCATTTACTAGGGTCAAATCTCACCATGTTCCAAGCGGACAGATACATGCTATGATCCAGGAGGAAATAGCTTACACACCAAAAGAATTGCAAGACATTGTCAATATGTTGGCAGAAACCTGGGGAGTACGACAGAATGGATTCTAAGGATGTTAGACCAATGAGGGTAGAATATAACACTAGATAGGGCTAAATTCATTGATATGGGTGCATTTACTAGAGATTCTAGATATAATGTATTAGCTTGTGTACCTAAATTGGTTGTAAGAGGTTATTTAATTGGTTGACTGAAATGTGGACTTAATAGTGGCCTACACCAACCTGAGCAAGAGCGAGACCCTGTCTCTACTAAAAATAGAAAGAAATTAGCGGGCCGGCGCGGTGGCTCACGCCTGTAATCCTAGCACTCTGGGAGGCCAAGGGGGGGCGGATCGCTCAAGGTCAGGAGTTCGAAACCACCCTGAGCAAGAGTGAGACCCCGTCTCTACTATAAATAGAAAGAAATTAATCGGCCATCTGATGATA